GCCTGCGCGCCCTGCCACGCGCGCGGGTCTGGATGCGGCCCAGCTCACGGCCCTGCCGCCCGCACAGGTGCCTGCTCGCAGCTCCGCCGCGCACCCTGCCGTGCACACGGGTCCGGACACGGCCCAGCTCACATATGTCACGGTTGCCCCCTCGTGGCTGTGGCCCAAGGACCCGAGTCCCTTGCAGGGCGGTGGTGACAGGCGTGCGGTGACGGGTGTCCTGCGAGAACCCGGGGACGTCTCGGAGGTGAGCTGCCCTCGCCTGCCTGCTGCTGAGGCCTCTCCCCGTCTCGCCCTCCCCCAGGTCACCCGCGCTTCTTTAACCAGCTGTTTTCCGGCCTGGACCATCACGCCCTGGTGGGACGCATGATCACAGAGGCCCTCAACACCAGCCAGTGCGTGCTTGCGCCTGGGACGGCAGCGTAACTGCGCGTGGGGATCTGCCATAGGCAGGGGGGAGTTTTGGGGGGTCTCATTTCCACCTCGAGGTTTTGGGGAGCTGGAAGGAGGGATGGGGGAGACCAGTGGAGCATCCAGCTCCACGTGAGACGGCTTTTTTTGGAAAGCCAGCAGCACTGGTGCAGGCGGACGGTGGCTTTTCCTAATCCGTGCCCTGCGCTGAGCTCAGCGGGTAGCGCTGTCCTGCCCATGTGCCAGCTGTCACCACGCTGTGGGTCTTCCAGGTACACCTACGAGATTGCCCCGGTGTTCGTGCTCATGGAGGAGGTGGTGCTGGCGAAGCTGCGGGAGCTGGTCGGCTGGAGCAGCGGGGACGGGATCTTCTCCCCGGGTGCGTGAGGCCGGCGGGCGCGGGTTGGGTTGAGCCCTTTCCATTCCTGGGTGCCAGGCCTGGACCGGCCCCCACCCAGCACGGCAGGAATCGCTGTAGGCTTCGTCCCAGCCCCAGCGGTGACTTGGCTCTGTCTCCAGACTGTCCCTCTGCTCCCAGCCAGCCGTGACCTCCGTGGTTTCGTCCCCTCGCAGGAGGCTCCATCTCCAACATGTACGCCATGAACGTGGCCCGGTACTGCCGCTTCCCGGAGAGCAAGCAGAAGGGCAGCTGGGCCCTGCCGCGCCTGGCGCTGTTCACCTCGCGGGAGGTACGCAGCGGGGCTCTCCCTCCTTCCTCCCTGCCCTCGGAGAAGGCGGCTCCTCTCCAGCAGATCTCAGGACGTCCTGCACGTTGCCTGCTTGGAGCCGGGACGTGTATGGGGACAGGAGGGGAGAGGGCAGGTTGGGAGAGGCTGGATGGGTTTGGGAGCGACCCTGATCTGATCCCTGTCTGCTCCCCTCTCAGAGCCACTACTCCATCCAGAAAGGAGCCGCGTTCCTGGGCATCGGCACCGACAACGTCTACCTGGTCGGCGTTGATGAGAGGTGAGAGCGTCCGGGCTGATCCGAGCCGGAGCCCGGTAGATCCCAGTTCTGCTGATTGACCAAATCCGCCCTGTGATTTTTTGCTCAATGTCCATCAGGGGAAAGATGATCCCCGAGGAGCTGGAGAAGGAGATTGAGAGGGCGAAAGCCGAGGTGAGGCTGGGGGTGGGGGGGGAGAAGGGAGCACCCGTGCGGGTTGGGGCGCTGGGGCAGAGCCATGCACGACGGGCTTCCCTCACCGCTGTCCCCTGCCCGTTCAGGGTGCTGTGCCTTTCTTTGTCAGTGCCACCAGCGGCACCACGGTCCTGGGCGCCTTCGACCCGCTGGGGAGCATAGCAGACGTGTGCCAGCGCCATGGCATCTGGTTCCACGTGGATGTGAGTGACTTTGGGAGGGGGAAATGGGGCCGCGTGGGTGTCCCGTTGGGTCCCCCCCGGGCCTCCGCACGAGCCCCGTCTTCCCCGGGGTGTCTCTAAGAAAGGCGGCTGCTCTGACACATCTCCTCCTGCCTCGCAGGCGGCTTGGGGTGGGAGCGCCCTGCTCTCCAGGAAACACCGGCACCTCCTGACCGGCATCGAGAGGCGAGTACCTTCTGAGGCTGGGGCTCTAGCTCAGAGCTGGGCCACAAAACGGGCTCAAAACTTGCCTTTTAAAGACTCACAGATCCAGGGCAGAGATGTGATCTCTCCCTGTGTCCTGCTGGGCTTCAGCCTGGGCCGCAGCACTGAGCAAGTTGTTGCTGGGATGAAGGCGATAGCCGTGGGAAGGACTATGCTCTGTTCCCAGCTGCGATTGCTGCTCCAGGCAGCGCCCGCCGGACTTCCAGCCGGGCTCGGGGCTCGCAGCCCCCCTGACCTGCTTTGTCCCTCTCCCGCAGGGCAGACTCGGTGGTCTGGAACCCCCACAAGATGCTGATGGTGGGTTTGCAGTGCTCGGCCTTCCTGCTCCGAGATGGCTCCGTAGGTCCCGTCACCCTCGTCTCCTCCAGGCGTTAGCGGGAGGCCGGGCCGGCCCGGGGGGTGACCCCGGGGGCGCTGGGACGTCCCTGCCCGCCCGTCCCGCGCTGTTGGCGCTCACCGCCCACGGGCTCACGGCCATCTCTCGCAGGGTCTGCTCCAGCGGTGCTACGGCGCCCG